GCAGCCTGAAAAATACCCAAACATACACAATCGCACCATCCCACCCTCATCCTCACCCCCACTCAATCAAAGACATACGAGGACACCACATTCCACTCATACACCTGATACACACTCTATACCCCCCCAGGTCCAGGACATGCATCCACCCCCTATTGGAGGCACCACACACCCGAACCCAGGAAGTAGACCCAATCATTCTGAGATGGAGAGGAGCAGGTAGCCAAGGCCCGGCCTGGGCAGCACCAGGACGCACCAGGACGCCTGGCCAGCCCCCCGCAGCAGAGAAGCCACACCTTTGACCACCCCACCACACCGCCAACGACCAAGTGCACCCCCGCAGCCGTTCACACCCCGGAACCCGGCAGCCACCCCGGCCAGGGGACCACCAACAGGAACCAAGAGCCACACCTCAGGAGACCAAGCAGCACCAGGGAGGATGGAGAGCCAGCCCCACCCCCGGCAACCGTCCAAGCCCTGAGCCCACCCACAGCCCAGGACCGCCGCCGGCGGCCTGCCCTTCTTCAGGACCCCCTCCCCAAATGGCAGTCAGGGAATGGGATGGGAATAAAGACCCTGACACCCACACCCTCAGATGTACTGTTGGTGCGTGTTGTTCTATAGAGTAATTAAAAAGGGAAAGAGGAAGAGGCAGAGGCCGGCGTGGTGCCAGTTTCCCCTCCACCACTACTCTGACCCAAAACCCTAAGTGTCTATATGAAAACCTTGGGGGGTGGGCACAGGCACAGGAGGCAAGAGTGGTGCCATCCGGCCACCTATAGCCATGAGTGCCCACCATAAGTTCCTATACGTATGTGAATTTCATGAAAATGTTACGAGTGAATGTCTAAGATGTACAGTACAATAAAATTTGGGGCCCAGGTGGTTATGGCAAATAGAAATGTAATATTGTTGCTCTTATAACACAACTGTGCCCCCCAAAAAACCCTACATGGGTGAAGTTGAAAGTGAAGAGGATGGAGGTGTGCGGTGAGGGATGGGGAGAATAAGCTGAAGGAGCAAAATGCTCCCACAGGGAGTCAGCTCCCCCGCTGGCCCCAGTAAGCCCTCCTGTTCCCCGAACCCCACCCAGGAAGAGCAGCCCAACTACCTCTCCCTCCAGGCAAACCGTCAAGCCCACAGAACCCCAGACCATGGACTGACGGAGCCCCGAAGGCCACCAGAAACAGGGACCAACACTCCACCCACTCAGAGCCACCCAGACCCCCAAAACTCAACCCCAGCCCCATAGCCGGCCCGCCGCCCAGAGAAGTCACCGTTCCCCAGCAAGGACGGCTCGGCCAAGAGTGCCCACCCAACTGCCAACAGAGCAAGGGGGCACCCAGGGCGGGCCCCTGCCACAGCAAAGGGGCCAACCAGCCTGCCCAGCACGGCCCCCAGCCACCGCCAACGGCCACCAACCTAATCCCCACCCCAGAAGACATACTACACCCACCCCAACATTCGGGCCACTATCAGAACATATAACACAAGGACACCCAGGCTGGGTCGACTCCCCCCACATTAGCTCCATGTCATGCCCTCAGCCAACCCTACCCCCCCAGCCCATGAGAACCGCAGACCACCAGCGCACCAGAGGCCCCCAGCCCAGAGCCGGGCACCAG